TAAAACCGAAACACAGCTATGCAAACACGACTGCTTCACGGTTGAAACACGAATGGGACAGAGGTACCCAAGCTATTGACTTTTGTACAAAGTCTCTCTCTTTTTTTTTTCTATTTAAGAGTTTCCTCTTGTCGGTGCAACGAATTCATGCATCTTCTAAATAAGTGGAAAATACATAAACATAAATATATGCTAATCTTCACTAATAAGAAGACATCTGAAGAGTATTGTCCTCGTAAATACAAATGAATACAAAGAGCGCACACAGTGACACGCTGTGCTGTGATATGTCATTTCTAAATAAACAAACCCATTAAACCAATAGTAATACCAATAATTTACAGCACTAGCCATTGACCTCTCTTGTCCCGTTCACCGCATTCATGGCCGTGTAATCCCGGCATAGAATTGGCCACCCGTTCCTTTCCCGTGGGTGTCGTAAGAGCTGACAAAAAGAGGGCGAGAGATAGGCATTAAGTAGTGTCCCTCTTAAATCATTTCTAAAGCCTGACTGCGGTTGTCAACGCCTGCCAAACGTGACAACTACTGGTAAACCCCCCCAAAGAGGAGGCTTATGTTCAGCAGTGGACAGTTAAAGGCCGATACGATGAAGATGATGATTATCAGAGGAAGACTTTGTAAAAAAGTCGTTTGCTTAGGTACCTCTGTCCCATTCGTATCTCAACCGTAAAGCAGTTGTGTTTGTATGGCTGTGTTTCGGTTTGAAAGGTGGGATATGGCGTGAATTTACAGGGTACAGAGGAATAACGCCTGAGTCCTCAGGAATGGCAACGTATTGGGGGGTATCATGGGCGAAACAGTATACTCTGTTATGTCCACGGTGCTTCTCATGTCTATAAGTGACGGTTAGCACTTTCCATCATGTGGGCCGTCAACTTGTTTGCCAATCTAAGTTGTATAAAAAAAATGAATACCAATAATTTAATAAATTATAAGTAAATAAACTCCCACGATATTACTATGTTATCTATCAGACTATACAAATATTGATACACATTATCAATCTTGTTCCGCCCTGAATTTTATACAGGTGAGAGTTGTTCTTTAATATCTTAAGTTCTAGGGTTGTCACACATCCGTAAGATATGTCAGTGGAAAGATAAAATTGCGAGTATAATAAAAACGTTTTACAATAAAAACATTGAAACCGAGTGTTTTGTTGGATTGATAAAAGAATAAATTTTTTTTATGCAATAAAAACAAACTGACGACCCACTGATGGAAAGTCTATAGACATGAGCAGTGTAATTATTATTATTATATTTTTTTAAAGAAACAAAACAAATATAATCTTTTGGAGGAAACAATAGAGAATATCCATCTGTCTATCTAAATTAAATGTCTGGGAATTAGTGATAATCATGAATCATACAGATTAGTAACTGCGATGTTACAACTAGCTACAAGATAATAACAATTTCATTTGAAACATAAATCGATTCTTAGAAATCATCATCATCATCATATGCCCATTGCTGAACATTAGCCTCCCCCTTGAGGTTTGTGCCAGTAGTTGTCACGCTTGGCAGGCGGATTGGCAACCGCAGTCAGGCTTTAGAGATGTTTTAAGAGGAACGCTGCTGCCCATTCCTCGCCGTCTCTTAGTCGACTTTTACCACACCCACGGGAAAGGTAGGGGTGGCCTATTCTATGCCGGGACCACACGGCCATCATTAGAAACATTTTACAATAAAAAAAAGTAAAGAAACTCAAACAACAAGATCTCAATGAATGAATTAAGCACTTTTTATTTTTTTAGTTTGGCAACCCTATTATACGATGCATTGTTTCACTTATCGCCTAAGCACACTATGGATGTCGTTAGCCTAGTTTTTTGAGCAGGATAATGTGTTAGACGAAGTAAAAGTTGAATATGATTGATTGCAAAATTGTGGAACAATAGTTTAAATATACTGAATGAATAATATAACCTATATAGATATAGTTTTGGCGGTTATCAAAGTCATTTGATAAAATTGATAACATGCAGATAAAATTATACACGTATTTAATATAGATACAAAAAAAAAAAACGAAAACAATTATTTTGTTATCTATACATTCTATTACGAGTTATGGCATTTTTAGTCTGTTTTTAGTAGTTTTTCGTAATTTAAAAAAAAAAAAATAACGATGCCATAAGCAAGAATACGACAAATAAAAATAATTATATTTTTTAACTTTTTATCTGATTATATGGCAAAAGAAAAACTACCTATTCAGTCCTAACATTATATGTAATGTCAAAATGAGTTTCTCTGTTTGTTTGTTAGCTTATAGTGCCTTAACGGCTTAACCAATCATTATAAAACTTAGTGTACCCAAATGGGGTGGAAATGGATATAAGCTTCTTTTTATCCTGATTAATAAACATCCCGGTTACGGGGGCGAAGTCGCGGGTAAAAGCCAGTAATTAATAAGAAATTAAAACACTAAAACTAGGATTAGTATAACATTATAACAGACTACTATAGCGATTTTATATAAAGTATATATTCACATTTTTGTCAAAGGGATTTTATGAAATTAAGTTACTGATGACTTCTTAATATTTATACAGAAAATAACAACATGGGCTATGTACACACTTTTTAATAGAATAATCTAGTAATTATTATGCAGTACGACGCCAAGTCACTGACCAATCATCAGGCTCGGTTATCTCGTTTCAAGATACCCTAGAAACTAAAACCTCTTATTAGGAGAATAACATGCTGGCACAAATTTCATTGATAAATAATAGTAGATAGGTAATATTCGGTCACTGACATGACACTATTACTCTGCGGCGCGTGTTCTTAGTGAGTATCTTACAATAAAAAAAAAAGAAATACACTCATTTAAGAACAACGTTCTTTATTCAAATAATTGGCGGGAATAATTTTAAATTGATTTACATTTATCTACGTTGCCAGCATAGTTTCATGTATTTACTAGTGATTTTTTTTAAACTAGATAGATAGATACTTTGAATTATTTTAAACCAGATAACGAGCATCTGGGGCCCAATTGAAATAGATGTTGGTAAACTCGAATATTGGTTTGTAAAGTTGAAATGAAAATTTAAAATTTAGATTCTCGAATTTATTTACGCAAATTTTACTTGCTAGTGCAATACTGTGTCAAGGGTCAAATTTAATATTTATAAAGACTAAATAATAATTTTAAATCACCTCGCTTTAAATGCTAAGTACTATTTAATTTATAAGTACATAAGTATATAAGGATATTTACATCTGACAGGTTTTTCCTGCGAGAACTAGCCGTTGACTGCTGCTATCTCATTCCCTCATGCGTATAGGGATGGTAGGAGAAAAAGTAACTATCGACTAAATCAGTTTACCATTTATCTGATCTGAACAGGATACACTAATTCAAGCGGGCAAATCTGCCGGATACAGTTAGTAGGACTTTAGCAATTATACTGGTAAATCTAGTCCTTATATACGTAATTACTATAACAGAATATCTTAATAAATAAATAATAAAATTTATAATTCTGAAATAAACCTTTGCTGAAAAATGTTGTTTTCAGCAAAATTGCAGTCTGAATGGACGGTAGAATTATAAAAAATGAAATATGTTTATTTGCAGACTATTTAAGTCCCAAAATTATTAAAAAAAAGACGTAGTACTATTTTAGCACCTGTTTAATTGTTTTAAACGATATAGACATATAAATATTTACATTTTATAAAAAAAAGTACTTAAAACTGACTACATATAAAAAAAATTCAAATACCTATAATTTAATTTAATTGAATAAAAAAATTCATTATGAAATATAATAGTTTTTTATACAACTTAGTTTATACTCTATATTTACCGCATTACCGATGTACCTACGTAATGCGGTAATCCATTTACGTGGAATGTATCTAATAGTGTATATAGATTATTAAATCCGTTTCACGTAACTGTATGCAAACATATTTGCCACGTAACGCAAGTAATCGACATTCTATTTGTAAATAACGATTCAAAAAATAAATTCAATTCAACACAAAAAATCCCTTTACTGTCCACTGCTCAACATAAGCCTCTCCCTTGGAGAGTTTTGCCAGTAAGTGCCACGTTTGGCAGGCGGATTGGCAACCGCAGTCAGGCTTTAGAGATGTTTTAAGAGGGACGCTGCTGTCCATTCCTCGCCCTCCCTTAGTCGACTCTTACGACACCCACGGGATCGGAAGGGGTGACCTTATATTGCCAACATACATACAATTTATATTAAATAAATATGTACAACAGGCGAGCTTAACTCTGTAAGAGTTATACATATTTATGTATTTATTTTACTCAAATCATCATTGTAATAAGTGCTTGCTATTTATTTATTTGTTTTTTTTTTTATGCAAATAAAATTCCTCCTGCTATATATATATTGGCCCATCATAACAAATTTATTAGAAATTAATCACCGTGATGATGATTCTCTGTGTTGTATTCCAAAACCAAATGTTTTAAAAAATATACGGAGATTAAAAAAAAAATCAATTTAAAAGTAAAACGAAAGTCAGCGTTTTGTTGTTATTCAAGGCCAGAATTATAAAGGAGAATGTCAACGGTCTATAATAGTATAGTATAAAAAATATAAAAAGTCACCGAAATAGTATTCATTAAAACGAAACAAAAAGTATAATTTAAGAAACGGTCGATTTCTGACTACGCATTTCTTAATTACTCTACAATTTACACTTTCGTATTTCTATTAAAATAATAATTATAAATAGAATTGCTATTCGAAATATGAAAATATTTATTTATGTAAAGAAAAATGTAAAGAGAAAAAAAAATACAAAATATATTTTTGTACAAGTAATTCAAAAAAAGAACCTAATTTTTTCACTACAAGAACAATACGCGTGAAATAACTTCAAACTGCCATACACACTATGTACCTATCTATACACAAACTTTAATGACACCATTCTAGCCTACGGAAATAATTGCTAAACAATAAAAAAAAAACGTAAACATACGAACATGTTTAATGAGCGGTTACTGCGTTGTACGGGCGGGAAAAAAAGTGTATTGAGAAAATGTCACATTGTCTATGACAATGGCCGTTCACAATTGTTGTCGAACTTTTTTATTCAACATTGCCAGCATTAGATTGCTTCCAGTAGACACCAGCCTATCAAATTGATCGGTCGTTGTAACTAGCGAATAATTTAGCGAATTGGTTTTCTCTAAAAATGCCCTGACGTGAAACAGCTTAAGTGTGGTTTTTAATTTTTTATTTTTATTTTAAGAAGTGATATTACATTAATAATTAAAATGCGTAGACACAATATTTATTACGATCCACCGTGTTCAGATGAGGAAGAGGAATTTTTTTATAGTGCTCGTTATTATCATAATCTAAGACGCGAATCGAAAATGGCCATTTTTGGAAAATCTGTAAGTGTTATTATTTGAGTAAATATATATAATTTTTTATTTTACTCAAATTATATCTTAATATTTTAACTACCTGATAGCTGCCACGCTTGGCAGATGAGTTGGCAACCGCAGTTAGACTTTAAGTTCACTTAGTCGCCTCTTACGACACCCACGGGAAAGGAAGGGGTGGCTTAATCTAAACCAGGACCATACAGGATAAAAGCCCCGTTTCATGGGAAAGCCTATGTTCAGCAATGGACATTTTTTTATACAACTTAGAATGGCAAACAAGCTAACGGTCCATCTGATGGAAAGTGGTAATCGTGCATAGACATGAACAGTACCATGGACATAACAGAGTATACTATTTCGCTAATGATACCCCCCATGCGTTGCCGATCCTGAGAACTTAGATGTTATTCTTCTGTACTCTGGAAATTCACGTCATATCCCACCCTTCAAACCGAAACACAGCCATGCAAACACAACTGCTTGACGGTAGAAACACGAACGGGACAGAGGTACCCAAGCAATCGACTTTTGTACAAAGTCTCCCTCTGGTGGTTAAAGACTAATATAATTATTTTAACTAGCATTTAACCATACGTCATCCGCGTAACCCAATATGTTCATTGACCAAAACAAAAAGTACTCTATGTCGTTTTCCTTCTCACATAGTACATACATATATACAAATTTTCATAATATAATTGATTAAGCTGTTATGCATTAAGACGTAGCAAAAATATTCACTTTCAAATCACAAATCGTGCCATTATGATTTTTTATGCAACTTAGAATGGCAAACAATCTGACAGCCCGAGGTATCCAAGCAAACGACTTTTGTATAAAATCTCTGATGGGGAATATGATGGATCAGAGGGATGTCTCAGTTTTCACGGTGAATATTAAAAAAGTCATTGCCTTGTAAGAAGTAAGATTTAGATTGAAAGTAAGATTTACGATAAAAAAAGTCAAAAAACAAAATCAGTGACAGGCAAAATGAAAATAAATGTTTTGTTAGAATTTTGTTACAAACACATCATCATCGTCATCCTACCTTTATCCCAATTATTATTTGGGGTCAGCGTAATATATTTTTTACCCATATTACAAAAAGATTCGGCTTATACCTAGTTTTACGATCGGCCGTCTGCCTGACGTCAACCCTCTTTGGGAATTCTATAAAAATACATATTGTTGTATTTATTAATTCACAATTAAAAGACAATCAATGGATTGTTGTTGGTGTATTTATAATTCAATAAATAAATGTTCGTATTTTATTTTAATAAATACAATGATTCATAGTACAATAGTAATAATATATTGTCACGTAAATGCCTATTATTATTATATGCCTTATTAAAATATCAATTGTTTTAATTATGAATTTAAAGTATTGCAATTGATTCGATCATGTATCGGGTTTCAGTATTTTTACAATTATAATTTTTATGCGGGTAGAAACGAATAGACTGGTTGTCGTTCATTCCTGCTTTAATTTTTGTCGAGAGAACACGCATTAAACGAGATATCAAGATTAAAAATATCTTTTATTTCTGGTAACAGCTGGTCAATAATCATCCAACTATCTATTTTAAAAAACCCGGTCAAGTGCGAGTCGGACTCGCGCAACGAGGATCCCGTACAAAATCATCAAGTTTATTTATTTTTTTGTAAAATATCTACAAACTTACGATTTTTGAATTTTTTCCTTTACTTGTACTATACATAACATTGCTTTTTGCCAAATTTTATGCTTCTAGATCAACGGAAAGTACCCTATAGGTTTTGATTCCCTTTGCGAATGCCAAAATATGCAATATAAATGTAACATAAACGGCCGTTTCTTTCAATTGCGTCGATTTAGAAGCTTGATTTTTTCACTGCTTTAAGAGATTGCAGACCTGAGTATATGATATTAAAATCAACTTGATATCTCAACGCGCTCCTAAGAAAAAGGGTCTTGACAGACAGACGGACGCACGACGAAGTGATCCTATAAGGGGTCCGTTTTTTTCCTTTGGTAGTACGGAACCCTAAAAAAGTTTGCAATCTTCAACAATCTTCTTCTATTTACTTATATTTATTATTTACTATGTGTACATAGAAACCAATAAATCTTGAATTTGCTAACAGATCGTGTCTGTGCCATAATCTTCTCAATGTAAGATTATCTGTCACGAGGCTGTATGGAAGCTTACTGGCTGCGTGCAGAAACCAGTGTATTCGAGTTATTATAGTGTATTTAACAACAATATCATGTGTCAACACAGTGATGCCAATTTAATAGACGTTTGCAATTTTATAATCTACTATTTATACTATTTATTATATGAATCAATACATATAATAAAATCGTAACTGGTCGCTGTCTGTACATAAAAAATATATAAGAAAAACCATTGTAGGGAGGCTTTATGAACGCAATAGAACCCAAAATATAATTTTTAAATTTTTCGTCTGTTTGTCTGTACCTTTGTATTCGCTAATCTCAGAAACAGCTCAGCTGATTTGACTGTGAGTTTCACTAATGCATTACAGTTTACTCCACTATTTAGCGTTTGTTTTATTAATAAATCTGTAGAGAGATAAATTCTGTACATGAAATATATTTCCAAAATAACTATCAGGAGGTGATTAGTGATCGATACTGATGCCAAAAATGCAATCAGTAAAATTTTTGTCTGTCTGCCTGTCTGTATGTTTGCTATAGAAACAAAAACTACTTAACGGATTTTAACGAAACTTGGTACAATTATTCTTCATACTCCTGGGCAGGTTATAGTATACTTTTCATCAAGCTACGATCAATAGGAGCAGAGCAGTGAAGGGTGGGATATGGCGTGAATTTACAAGGTACAGAGGAATAACACCTGAGTCCTCAGGAATGGCAACGCATGCGGGGTATCATGGGCGAAACAGTATACTCTGTTATGTCCACGGTACAGCTCATGTCTATAGGCGACGGTTACCACTTTCCATCAGGTGGGCCGTCAGCTTGTTTGCCATTCTAAGTTGTATAAAAAAAAGGTATTGATTTTCGAAAATTGTCTACTCGTACAAAGCCGGGTCGGATGGTTAGTTTAGAATAAAATGCGAATAGTGTGAACCGATAATGATGATTAGAAATGTACATATATAAAATATTTTCGTTTTATGAATTCATCACGATCTCACTATAAAGATGTTACCATATGGAAAACTCGCTGAAACCTGTTCTGTGACCGGTTGATCGTATAGGGCAGTGACTAGTAACTCTTGCCCTTGAATCTATTGTCCGCTCTATACTCGCATATTAGGTTATGTGATTTACAATTACACGCCAATTTTTCGCCACGACTCAGATATGTACGTGGACATGTCAAATAAGCCATAATAACAAATGAATAATGGCTGTTAAATCATGATTACGGATGTTGTGAGTATATTTTGCTAGTTTTCAACCTGTAACTTTATCGTTACTTTATCCTCGTGAGTTTTTAATGGATGAAAATGAAATAGTGACCCCGCCTGCGCTATCGGTATACACTGGCGGGGCACCAGCGAGAGGTGATAGGTGAGGATGAAAAGGCAGGTCAGTTAGCCCACCGTGACGAATTCAACGAAAAATTTGTCACGATAGTTTCCGCGATTCAAGCGCGTGGAAGTCGGCCTGATAGGATATATTGATAGCAATGGGGACTAACCTTCCCATTACTAACAATCCCTTCCACCAATTAAACAGTATTAAACTTCACAAATTTGTGTCATTGAAACTACATTCAACTTTCAATACCGCAAGTAGCTTTCAGTGTATATGTCACAATGTCATAGCCTGTCGTTTGTACACGCAATAGTTTCACAACGATCTTGCAACTGCGATATGCAACTGCGATTCCCAGTACGGGCACAAGTATTGTCAGCATAAAAAGTCGATAAATATATCCAACATATAAAAAAAAAAGTTTTCCAAAAAATTTAGATTCCGTTACATTCATTCGCTTATTAAGAGTTTTTATTAATATTACAAATGCGAAATTGTTTTCTTGATTGTTTGTTTATTGCACTATAACACCTTAATGGCTATACACGTATTAAATTGTATGGAAAAAGATTTAGGCTACATTTTATCGCTTACAATTTACTTGTATATATAATTTTGAATTATCTGTGTAACTACATACAATATTATTGTATTGTACAGGCTAAATATGTCGAACGAAATTGTATTTTTGACATCTGCATGTATTTATACGCATGTTTTACAAATAAATAGTTTTGAATCAATAAACATATCCCGGTCGCGTGGACGAAGTCGCGGGTAAAAGGCTGTGAGTTGATAGACTTAAACGTATCCAGTTTTCCAAAACTTCTCCATTTCATTATATTTATTCACTTGTTAAGAATCCTTACTAATGTTATAAATGCGAAAGTACGTTTGTTTGTTTCTTACATCTAGACAAAAAAAAGGGCATATTCCTTTTTAAAAGGCCGGCAGCACACCTGCAATACCTTTGGTGTTGTAGGTGATCATGGGCGGCGGTAGTGTAGTAGGTACATGGTGAGCCGGATACTCGTTTGCCCCCTGTGTTGTAAAAATATCTAGGCGCTTTAACGACTTAATCAATTTCTATGAAATTTAGTATAAAAGTACTATATGGGATAAAGAAAGACTTTTGCTACTGTTTTGTTCCGGACAATAAATTTATTACGGTCACGCCGACCAAGTCACGGGTAAATGAAACCGGTTTTACAGGAGACTGGCGCCTGCAATAGGTTTTTGAGAGACCTGTATTACAAGTTATCAATATTTTCAACCATCTTATCTAAATGTCCCATTCGTGTTTCTACCGTGAAGCAGTTGTGTTTGCATGACTGTGTTTCTATTTGAAGGGATATGGCAATGAATTTACAGGGCATAGAGGAATAACACCTGTGTACTCAGAAATGGCAATTGCATGTGAGGTATCATGGATGAAACAGTATACTCTGTTATGTCCATGGTACTGCTCATGTTTATGGGCGACGATTAC